AACAAAGGAATGTAAACATAATTAAAAGGAAAAAAATAATAACCAAAACACAAGAGAGTGTATCAGCTCACAGAACTGTGAAGCCTAAGAGATATTTTTTCAGGCACAGATGGATTCAAGAGTTAAATAACATCACCAGGATTTGATCCCTCTACGTTGTTCCGTTTCGCTTTCTTCTTAGGCAGGCAGTGTTTCTTCATGAAAAATTGCTGGTCCTGGCAAGGCCAGGCTGAGAGCACCTTCATGAGCACAAGTAAAAGAGCACTGCGTTCTCTCTCCGACATCTGCATTACTCTAAGGGCTCCGATGGACCCTACTTGAGCCCTGTGCCTGTCTCTCGACAGTTCACTAGTATCTCCCACCTACTGTTCAAATGTGTTTTCAAGTCAATCCCCTCAAAGTAATTGCAGTGATATTTAAAATTAAAAACTTTTCTGCTCAAAACCTTTCAACAGCTTCCGTCAGCTCTTTGGACAAACCAGAAAGTCCTGTAAGAGGCCACTAGGTCCTACACAGTCAGGCCCTCGCCTGCCTCACTAGCTCACCAGGCAGTTTCCCCAGCCGCTGCCCACACCCAGCCTGTTCTCTGGCAGCACTGATCTTCCCTGCTCGGTCTTCCTTGATGCGCGTTGCAACTCCCGATCTCCACAGCTCCTTTTGCCTTACTGATTCCTATTTATTTTCCTGTAAGTTCATTGTCCCTTATGCTGTAGACTGACCTAATGCCACTTTCTCATTAGGTTAAGAAAACTGATTTTATATATAGATAGATATATCTATATCTATATCTATATCTATATATATATGCTTTTCTCCCCCATCATACTGTAATCTCTAGGTAAGAGAATATGTATTTTATTTCCTTTTTCCATCATATCCTCATTTCAGATATAGAGTAAGTAGTTTCTCAACAATAATTTTAAAAATAGACATGAATATACTTGTATATTTTCATATTTCTCTAAGCACATTTATTGAGGGCTTAGTTAAGTAACTAACCCTGCATTAGATGCTCTAATAATACAGTGTCTAATCTTTGGCACAATCCTGAAAGATAGATGAGTAACGTAATAATTGCCAAAGGCTATATGGCTAGTCAAGAGTAGGGATTTGACCCCTATATTGGTCTGATTAGAAAAACTGAACTATTAGAACCAAATTGTATTTTTCAGTCTTTAATAAAAAGATCAATGGTTTTTGTTCAAATACATTCCAAGTAAAAATTCTGCCTTTTCATGTAGTAAGTAATACAATCAGCATAGATGGTTTTATACAATGAAAAGGAAGATATTTTTTTCTGTCTTGGTGCCTATAGATGGGTACCCATTTCAATATTTTAAGCTAATCCATTTACTTTTACATATGCAGCACAGTAACTGGAACCATTATTTAAACTTGCTTCTATTTTAAGAAAAGTAGGTCCAATATTCTCTGTAAAGGTAGAAATACCAAACATGTTATTATCTTTCTAATAGTTTTGTTATTTTTTTAATTTCTATGAAATTTATTGGGGTGACACTGGTTAATAAAATTATATAGGTTTTAGCCCTGGCCAAGCGGCTTATTTGGTTGGATCGTTGTTCCATACAACAGAAGATTGTGGGTTTAGTCCCTGGTGGGGGCACATTTGAGAGGCAACTGATAAATATTTCCTTTAACAGTGATGATTCTCTCTTTTTTCCCTCTCCCTTCCTCTTTCTCTAAAATCAATAAACATATCCTTGGGTGAGGATTTTAAAAATTATGTAAGTCTCAGGCTTACAATACTTTAATGCATCGTCTGTATACTGTTTGTGTGTTCACCACCCCAAGTCAAGTCTCCTTTCATCAACAACTTTTTAACAGACTGGGACAATCAGATGAGATAAAGAAAAAAATCTATTTCATAGATTCAAGAGAAAGTTAAAAGTTGCCTAATAATTACATTGGTAAAGCTTCTTTAGAGCTTTATAATGTCCTTGTGAACTGTAAGCTATTGAATAGGTCTCCTACTCCTTCCCATGTGGCTATCACTGGGAGGTCAGAGGACTGTTGAATTCTTGGTATTCATCAAAAACTTGTTTTCTCTTCAGAATTTCAAAGAGGTAGCATCCTTGGCCTTCTGTTCTGTGCTGTGTGGAGACACTTTTCTTGGTTTCACTTTGGAGAAAATGATCAACCAGCTCTCAATACCATCATCTAGTGGTTTGGAAAGAATTAAAAGAAAGTAATTATTATAGCTTTCTGTTTATTATTGCTTTTCTCCAATAGATACTATTTCCTTCAACCAAAATTACTCTGAAATTGAGCATCTGAATAAGACTAAGAGAGGCAGCAGGTAGCATAAATAAACGTGGCTTAGGGAAAGCTAAAACTCTCCTCTTTAACTAATGTCAAACAATACATCAGAAAATCAAAGCAAAAATTTCACCCTTCTTCACATGAGAGGGAACTGCCTCAAAAAAGGAATTATCTTCTGGGGGCAGGCCTCTTCTGGTATAGGCTTTCCTCGCTGGGTGAATATTCTATGAACCCATCTGCAATGGTGCACCAGCTGGTGTAGTTGTGAGAGGCTGTGTTTGGCTTCAGCAATTTTTTTTAACGACTCTTTTAATGCATTTGCCCATTTCATCATGGGTGTCTTACAAGCATACCTGCCCACACTGCCCTGAGTGTTCAGCAGTTTTTGACCAAAAACAGCATGACCCCTGTGTCCCACTCTCTCTTTTCTCCCAATCTCACCCAAAGAAACATTTTTTTTTGTTCCCCCTGATGAAAAAAAATCCACAAAGAGAAACATTTTGCAGATGTGGAAGAGGTGAAACAGAAAAAACAACAGAAACACTAAAGCATCAAAATCGAGTCCAAAAACTGTTTTGAGCAGTGGGAAAAAGTCTCAATAGGTAGATTGTATCAAAAGGAGTCTTTGAACGTGACTGAAGTTTAACCATGTAAGAATAAATACACAATATTTTATAAATAAAATCTGGAGGTATTTTGGTCCCCACTCGTACCATAGAGTTCTTCCACCCTTGGCAGAGGACTGGAGAAGGGACAAGAGTGAGAGGTTTTCAAACTGAAAAAAAATGTGTAAGTTGGTCAAATAAATAGATCAACCTATTTTCGGGAATTTAGAATATGCCTGAGGTAGTAAAGTACAGCTTGAATATAGACCACGTTAACTTAAAGATGTGTACTAGATTTCTGCTTCTGGGAAGATGAAGAAGATATACTTTTCTCTCATCCTTTTGCTAAGTACAACTAAAACCCCCCAACATTATATATAAAGAAATATAAGAAAATTTTGGAAGGTGGAGAGAAAAAAGAAGACAGGTTTGGCACCTTGGAATCCCAGAAACACACAGATGTGCGTTAGGTGTTCTTTCTGTTTCATGTATCTCAGTTGTGAGGCATAGATATTGGCAACTCAGAAACACCAACAGGCACAGAGCAAAAAAGCCCCCAACAAAAACCTGTTGTCTCTTCTCCAGTGCTTGGAAAGGTGCAGGCTAGCAAGACAAATGTCTTTTAAGCAACAGTTGTTCGTCCCCAGCCAAACAGCACAGAAAAAAACTGTGTCCCCAGCTTCATCCATGCAAGCAAACGAGTGAGGAGTGCAGGTTTCACACCTTCCCACCTTTGCCAGGCTGTGATGAGATGCCCAACTCCCCACCAGGTGGTGCCAAGTGGAGTCAGGAGCTGGAACTTTCATCCCCATTGGGTAGTAAAGAGAGGAGGCAGGGCTGTGCTGACACCCCTACCGACACTTGTGACCTTTGGTGGCTCTGCCTCTTTGAGCCTCTGCCCATCTGTAAAATGAATGAGCATTCCTACTTTGCATCCTTGGTTTGAAGATTAGGACCCATATGTGAACAGAGTACCCTCTGCCACAAAAAAAATGAAAAGTATGAACTATTGTATCTCTCAAGAGAGCACATAGCATTTAGCAATATGGAAAATTAATTATAAAGCATAACCAAATGGGGTTTATTACAGGGATACAAGGCTAACAGTATTTTAAAATCAGGTTGTGTTTCTCTGGAGAACCTTGACTAACATAAACCATACACACAAACTAACTCCAAATGAGTCATACACCTGAATATAACACCCACGCTCCTAAAACTTCTATAAGAAAACATCAGAAGAAAACAATGTTACTTTTGGTTAGACAAGGATTTCTTAGCTATGATACCCAAAGTACAATTCATAAAAAAATAAATTGATAAGTTGTACTTACCAAAATTATGAATTCTTTTTATAAGACACTGTTAAAAGCAGCAAAAGACAGAGCTTAGAATGGGTGAAAATATTTATAGAATATAGAAAGAACTCTTAATACTCCATACTAAAAAAATGATCCAGAATAAAATAGACATAAGATTTGGTGACAGTTCACCATACAAGGTATATGGATATCAAATGATCATATTAACAAATTATCAACATCTTTAATCGGGAAATGCAAATGAAAACACTTAGAGTACAGCAGACACCTTTAAACTTGTACAGTATTTTATTTCTTTTTCTTTCTCCCCTTCTTATTTTTTCATATAGTGTCTTTTCCTTTCATTTCCTCTTGTAATATTATTTTTGTTTTATAACAAGTACCATTTGTTCTCTTTCTTCACGAAGCTGTCATATGGAATTGAAGCCAAAAGCTTGGTGTAACTATGGAACAAAGGGCTGACTTGAGAAAGGTGTGGTTCGTTCCTTGCCTCAATGGGAAGGTTAATTTCTGTCACACAGCTTCCCTAGAGTTTAGACATAGACAATCGACATTTGTTCACTTTTATTAAAAGCGCATTGTGGCTACATAAACACAGTGACTGAACTCTGTAATACAAAGAAGCTGGAGATGCTGTGAGTTACGATGACCAGACAGGCAATCAAAGTTGTCCTCTGTAGATCTCTCTTTCAAAGAAACTCTACACAGTCTTCCTTAAGAAGATGCATATTAAAAGTGTAAGTTTTGACACAAGCTTCTTTTTATTTCCTCTTGATTTTGGTGTGTTTTCCAGCTGCTGAAGGAATGGTGTGCAACCATCTGTGTTCAAGCGATGGCTGTTGGGGACCTGGGCCAGACCAGTGCCTGTCCTGCCGTCGCTTCAGCAGGGGCAGGACCTGCATAGAATCCTGTAACCTCTATGATGGGTAAGGCATCGTACATGTCACCGTTACCTCCTGACCTTTGAAGTACTGTTTGGTTCAGGTTTAAAGCTGACAAGAACATTATACAATTTCAATGTACTGGCCGAGACTTTTCAGGAGAACTTTTGTTGCATAAAGGAGACAACTTAGAGAAAATTAATGAAAGAGAAAATGCTATTACTTGAAATAACAAGTCCAAATATATATTTAGTATAGTTACATTTTAAAAACATATAACAAAAAAGATAATTCTTAACAAAATATTGAAATTCCTCTTAAGCAAAATTGAAAAATATATTTCTATTCTCTTTCTAAAAAGGAGTGTTATAAGTGATCTTTTCTCTTTTACACCCCAATATTCTTTTTTTCTCATACTTTCTATCAATACTCATCTATAATTATATATAACTTGTATTTATTTTTTCAATTTCAGTTGGACATCTGTTTGATTTGGAGTTAGGAATGACATACATTTCTAAGTCTCTGATAACTCTTAGCTCTATAGAAAAACTACGTTCATAGTTTCTAGTTGAATGGGTTTTTCTAAGTGTTCTGCCACTTTCTAGAGAAATAACCTAAGCAATATGTTAAATCAAGTGTCTACAATTTCTTCCAATACTACCATAAATCCTAGTATATACCTTGCTGCATGCCATTTTATATACTCATACAATCACCTTATCATAACATGCTACTTCATGCATCGCAGTTGTCCTTCATTGGTGTGATAATATGATTTTAGGACTGTCCCTGAGTCAAATTTTTTAATAGTGCTCACAGAAAGTACTTTCAACAATTTTGTAAAAGTGTAGTTTTAAATTTCTTTATTTAATTTCTTCTTCTGCTTCATGAATTGTCCCATTTTATCAAATGTTTTCATGATACCATATAACATTATACTTTTTTATTGTATAACAGAAAGATAGAAATATCTGAATCATTAGGATATTGCTATGTCTCTTCTTTGAAGGATGACCACAATCAACTCTGTCCATGAAATTTAGGGGGAAAAGATGAATTTTTTTAAAGTATAAAAACTTTAAATAAAAATTTGATAGTTTTTCAGGAAAATTTCAGCTGATAATTTTGTAAGGTATAATCAGCTCATAAATTTGAATCCACTGAGCCACATCAGCAAGGGCTTAATCAGCTCATAAATTTGATAATGAATAGTAAATTGTGTGCTGTTTGTCACGTTGAAATGTGTTCATGCTTATTATGAAAGTGTGATGTTTTCTGTACATAAAATATCTCAGGTCAAAATATGCTTGTTTGTGTGAAGCAATCTATGCCTCTAAAATGAAACTAATAAGCTTTAATTCCAGTAACTGAATGTTACAATAAAAGTGTATTGACTATAAATATGCAGTCCTAATCGGTGAGAACTGGTGGAATTAATATTGATCAAATTCAAAACCCTTCAGAAGAACCAAGCCAACACTATAAGCCAAGGCATCGTATTCACTTTTTTTCCTTTCCAGATGCCATTGCTTTTCTTTAATATTTTAGTTTTAAACTTATTAGAGGTATGAAATTGATAAATATGTGGATGTATATACCATCCTCTGTCTCAGTTGTGCAAAACAGTGAAAACTAAGCAAAGGAAAAAATGCCAGTTTCTTAAATAAACAACAATGATTACCAGACTGTTTCTGACAATTTAACATTTTCCATGTCATTAAATCAAATGTATTAAAGAAATATAAAGCTTTTCATGTATTTTGCAATGGTAATGAGGCCCTAGAAAATCAAACTCACAGAGTTAATTTGAAAACTAGTATGATAGTATCTTGTAAGAATCTAATGTATATCTTGCTTGCCCTAACAATGATAGATTATCCCATCTCCAGTCTTGTGGGATTGGGTAATTTCTTCTAACATTGCCTGATGATTAAGACTGCCTTTGAGGAAGACTGAATTCAAAGTCTAACTTCATCACTTCATAGCTGAAATATCCAACCTTACACAAATAACCTAATTATTGTTAAGTTGGTTTTCTTATATGGAAATAAGAATAGTAGTGGTGTCAACTTCATACAATAGTTATGATTATGAAATGAGAAAATAGATAATAAATTCTTATTAGAATTCTCACCATTAAAACTGATCTCATATCTGTGTCTGTTAATCTGGGCTGATTAAATGGTTAGGTAGACCAGTCACCTGAAAAAACTATCAAAAATAAATACAACTACAGTATGACATTTACCAAACTCTTATTCATATGCATATAAAAGAGGTTGATTATCATAAGAGAAGCAATCTTAAATACAAAGCTTTTCAAAAGGTTAGAAGAAAACCAGTCAATTTCTGGCTATTAATACTCAAATTCAAATTATTTGAATCCCTGTATTTTGCCAACTCAACTACAATGCACAAGCAATCAAAATGAAAGAGAAAGTTAATTGCAATGGAATCCTTAAATTTTTCTTATCTGGCACTGTGATTAAGCACTTCTGAAACTTTAAGAACAAAATGAAAAATCAAAACAAGTGCCAGTCTCTTTCTAAGCTTTTTATATTTAATAATCACAACCTTTCCTTGAAACATCGTTTTTCCCTTTTACTAAGGATACTTTAAAAAACTGAAGCTTAGAGAAGTTAAGATATATAAGTCCTAGAAATATCAGTGTAGATGCTGGGATTTAAATTTGGGAGGACTTCACTTCAAAGTATTTCCTATTGATGATAGGATTGGCTAAGATAGCAGACACACGACAAACTGAAAAATGTATAGCAGCAAGAACAAGTAATAAAAAACTATGCAAAGCTCATGCCTAGTACACTGTGATTTGTTAGGTCAGATCCAAGTGAAAGGAGGGGTCTCTGGCAAAGTCATAGTAAAATCACTAGGGAACCTGGAAGACAAAGGGCAGTGATGGAGACAGTAGCAATAACGAGCAGAAGTTATAGAAGATACTACAAGGAGGATCAGTTCTGAGAGCAGAAAGGAAGAAAGCTATAGGCCCTGCAAATGGAAATTACTCTACAGAAGAAGAGGTAGCTTGCTTGTCTCTATGAGTTTTTAAATTACATATTCACTTTACCTCAACTCCATGTGTGGGAAAGGAGATTTTGGTGAAAAGAAAGATAAACATGACCTATGTTTTAGTGTCATAAAAATTATGACCTTTATTTAGTACCATAACCTTTTAGTCACCCCAGGAAACTGTTTGCAGAGGAAGTAATTTGCTGATGATACACGCTTTGCTGTAACTGCTATGTAATTTCATTAAACGGAGAATATTTCTGATTCTCTTTACAATTTAGCTACTCCCCTTCCCCCAATACTAGGTCATTTTTCCCTTTATATTTTACAGATTTCCTAGTTGAGTATTTTGTGTCACTCATGTTGATGAAATACGCTAAAGAAAATCAATTTTAATATAATTGAGATTTTCATAAAAAGAAAATTCATAAAAATGTTTACTCCATAACAAATACCTTACTTAAAAACATAAAATCTATGTAACTAAATATTTGCATTCATACATAACTATTGAGTTATGCTATTTATTTGAGAAACCAAATTTAATTATTTTGCCTTGGAGTAGATGTAGTTGTAATCCAACCAACAGAAAGTAGAGCCTGTCCTTTGGACTTCTCTCATTTGTTAGGGCTTTACAGTGACAAAATGAGATATTTCACTATAAAAAAGACAATATTTCACTCAAGGGAAAAATAAATTTGAATTTATCACCTAATTAATTTATAATTACCATATTTTCAATGCTATTAGTTTGTAAGGGTACCTTCTAATGCAAAGGCACAAAATAATACAGTGGTTATAACTATTTAGGCATTTTGTTAATGACCCATAACTGACATTCTAAATTATCTTGACCCAGTACTTCATTCACTTATATATTAGTAGGAATGGGGTGGTTTGAACATATCATATGTGACTAATACTCAATTATTGAGATGAAAATTTTAGAGTAGATATAGATTACAAATAGCCATAATATATAAAGTTGTGAGAAGGGGTGACCATCATCCCAGATTTTAATTAGAAAGTTTTAGGATGTTACCATTAAACTTTTTTTTAAATTTTGTACTACATAGAATTACTTCAAAAAGAATTTAAACTGAAGTAGATATTGTGATATTAGATCAAGAGTCTAAGAAAATAAAATCTGCCATAAAAAGATATTTTCTCTAATTCTCTAAGGCATATATTTTAAAAGAAGAAAAGAAATCAAAGCAGTTTTTGAAGTTTCACCAAAAATAAATTAAAGGGTCTTGGGATTTGAAGGACAAGGATGGGGAACATTCATGTAACTTAGCAACAAGAAAAAGACAATGGTTCTTTCAGAGTTTAAACAGCAAGGCTTCCACCAAGAGTAAAATTTTATAGAGAGAAGAGCTGAGACAACCTTACTTAAAAAAGTTAAAACCGGTTCTGCTATGTCATCAAAAGAGTTATACTTTTTTTTTTTTTTTGAGATACCTCCAATATCTCTCACAAGAGAGAGGTTTCCTGAATGAGTCTATCGTTGAACCCAGTGGAGGGCAAGGAGAGCCATCTGGCTGCCGTTTATCTTTCTTCCTAATGGAGAACTTACTCCTTAATGCACGGAGAAACGATCCCGATGCTCCTGGCAGAGAGAGAAACAAACTCCAGAATTTACTCTGCCAATAGGACTTTTAGCAGATGTTACTTCATTTGTTAAGTTGACAGCTTGTTTGCTTACACCACCTCAACACAACTGATGTTTTCACAGCGAATTTCGGGAGTTTGCGAACGGCTCCATCTGTGTGGAGTGTGACCCCCAGTGTGAGAAGATGGAAGACGGCATCCTCACGTGCCATGGGCCGGTAAGCTTGAGGACGTCTGTGGCTGTGTCGGCTTCTTTGGTTTCCTGTACGAATGTTTATGTCATTGCTTTATTGTGTATCCACACATTCAGTAGATACTTGCAGCGTGCTATGGGGAATCGCCTTTGGGATTCTGCCCTTAAGAGGCTTAAGTGTAGTCATGGAGATAAAATATTCAAAAATTCAGTGTCTTAAATGTTTATGTCCCAAGTCATGTATTCAAAAAGAAGATATGGAGTTGACCCTGAAGAGTACACAGTGTTGAAAAGAAAAGAGAGATGCAGAAGTAATTAAATGGAAGTCAAATAACTGATAAACTATAAATATATACAACTTGTTATAGAAACACAGTAAAGGAAAAACTACATTTGCCATTAAAATGGAAAGTGGAGCATAAAGAAAGGCCATAGAGATGTAATGTTTGAGCTGTGCTTTGAAGAAAACTCTGGAATGCAGAAACATGCAAAGTTATGCAAATATGAAAGTGCTTGTTGTTTGGAGGTAAACTGTAATACATTCTGTGTTTAATTATTTAACTATTATGACATTGTGAAGGACAGCTGAAAAGAGGAGGAAGGCAAATACAAACTAAAGTCTAAAACAATATTATAAACACTATGGTAAAGAGAAAATGTGAGCTATGAGAATCTAAGGAGAGGATATGGGATCAGGAAAGTCTTCATGGATAAGTTGATATTTATACAGTTTGAGGTGAGCCTTACAGAGGAAATGATAATTACATTTCAGCCCTCTCTTCGGGTCCCACCATTCAGGCTTCCTCTTGATAAAGAGGTCAGTATGAGTTTGCCATTCCAAAGTGTCATATTCATCCTTCCTTAGACAAATTTCCATTTTATTTGTGTATTGAGTCATCTCTCAGTAGGTGACTTAGGGACTGGCATTTGGATGTAGCCAAGAGCTCCACATGTCTCCATAAGGATTCATTTTAAAATTAAATAGTATTAATTTTTCTACTAGAGTGCTCCTTCAGCACTTAATTAGCTTTAAAAAAATATATCATTGAGCCCTCCAAACTCCCATTAGGCCCCAGTGAGCCATACTGGCACTTTGTGTAAAGAAGGGGGTGGACAGCATGGGCAGCTCAGAGGACGCCCGCAGGATGGGTAAGCTTGGAAAATCAGACCTCTGAGGAAAAGAAGTGGTGTGATGGGCCTGAAGAACCAAAGTCTAAAAGACGATTTAACATGTATTGGTTTCCAAGTAAGTAGGCAAAGGGCGTATGCAGCCATTTTCTTCCTCCACTGAGAAGAGGAAGGGAAAACACAATGTATCTGCAGCATGAGAAATGCAGAGTCTATAAGCAATGCTTTGGAACAACACAGGGATAAAATATTTCATAATGGCTTTAAAGCAAATTGAACTATTGATATAAGGCTTCTTTAAAAGCTAACATATTTAGGTCCCTCCTTGACCATTAGTCACAGAATAATAAAATCTCTTTTAGAGAGACTAAGACTTCAAAAATGTACAAATTGATAATCAAGAATTTGTCCATTACTCTTTTGTTATTTAAAATAATTAAGACAGTTTACAGAATACACATAAAAAATCCTCTAAGATAATGCCTTTTCCATTTTCAAAATTCTTTACTGACTAAATAAAGAGTGAAATAGGTATTTTTATGAAGTTTGCACTTTGTTTTATTACCTTTTTTATTAAATTGATTGGGGTGACATTGGTTAACAAAATTAAGTAGGTTTCAGGTGAACAATTCTATAATATGTTACCTGTATATTGTATTGTGTGTTCGTCACCCCAAGTCAAGTCTCCTTCCATCGCCCTTTATCCCCATACACCCTCTTCTAACACCCCCCACCCCCGTCACTCTGGTAATCACCATACTGTTATTGTCTGTGTCTTTGAGGGTGTTTTTTCTTTTTTCCTTAAATGAACTTTCAAGGAAATCATTTTGATTCTTTCATGACAGCATTGTTGGACCATATATTTAAAATCACTAAGCAGGGATTAAACTATGCATTAATACATTTAGAACAGTGACTTTTCCAACCAGCGTGTAGCAGCACACTGGTGTGCCACAAGAATTTTTAAAGCATGCAATACCTGACTATTTAGTCAGGGGCACTGACCTCTTTTCTCTTAGATTGTCAAATAAAAAAATGACAATAGATATCACAACAATAGCCACCTGATGTGAATGCATCAAAATTATACCTATCTTTTGTCAGATCTACAAAAAATGTATGTTTTGGTGTGCTGCAAAATTTTAGCAGTTCGTTTATATGTGTCATGAGATGAAAACCGCTGGTTTAGAAAGTAGAGAAGGTGCTGCCCAGGCCTAAAATTGTGAGTTGATATATCTGGAGAGTAGAGGAGGCACAAGTAGGGCAAGTTTAGTAATGCTGAAGCAGGCATCAGTGAAAGACCAGAGTACAGAATCAAGGGAACCTCCTTGATTACTTGATCAGAAAGCCTTGAAAGGCTCAGCAGGTGAGAACACAAGTCTTTTAGGTTATGCTGTCTGAAAAACTGGCAGGGCTAAGCGCAAACAATAGCCTTAATTTACTCTCAATAAGGGGTTACTTGCTTTCAGCCATTATAATTTATATTAGGTTTTTGCCTGTTGCTCAGTCTACCTGTTGATTACCATAACTAGGGAAAAGGAGATTTTGGGTGCCATGCAACAGGCCTATACCACAGAGGATATCTAAGAGATTCTGGAAAATTTTCCAGGAGACCAACATGAAAGGAGATAGAGAAAGAAGTCATAAAGCTAGTTGGAATTCCCTCATGATTAGTTCTGTTTAAGTCACATTTTTCTGATCTGTCAATATATTCTTAAAAATATATATATGTATATGTATATATACACACACACACACCAAACACTGTTATATATGATGCACACTATCACATTCTTCATTTAAAATATAAAGAAGTTGAACCTATAATGATTATAAAGTTACATCAAAAAGTCAACAAGTCAGTATCATGTGGAACTAACATTCAGTTATAAAATTCTGACTAAATTTTACCCTTTTTTTCATCACTTTCTTTCCCCAGGCAAAAATACCTGTAATGTAATAAAGATAAAATGGATACAACATCTATATATATAAAATAGGATGATATTACCCTATTTAAAGGTGACAAGAATCCAAGGTACTCTTGAGAGAGATTGATTTGAAATAGAGCAAACTTTTCCTTTTACATTCTTATTTATCTGTGCTTGTTCTTTATTTTTTTATTATTACTGTATATTTTTTACAATTTTATCCTTCCTGCTTTTCTTTCACTACTCCTGTGCTATTTAGAAGGATAAGACATGGAATGTGAGAAGAAAGAAAAATAAGGAAATCAGAGAAACTTGTGGGTGATCAAAATATAAGCCAGAGAGATATCAGAAGAGAAGAAATAGGGGAATGGAACTGATTTTTAAAATACGTTTTCATAAAAACTAAAGTAGCTGTTAAAGTCAGGATAATAAAAGTTGTACAGCCATAACAAATAACCCTCATATTGCAGTAGCTTATAGAAACATATCTGAATCGTTTTTTAAAAATGTAAAATGCATTATAAGTCTGGAAAAGGTTCTAAGGAAGCCAATTTCCATGTGATAGTCTAACATTCCAGGGTGCTATGAATTTATGGCACTCCCACATTTACATGGGGTCCCCAATTCATGGCAGCAGGGAATGAGAAGGCTGGAGGCTTTAGCATTGTCAGTCTTACAAGTCCCTTCTATTTACATTGCCCAAAGCAAGATACACCTCATCTCTGGTCAGAGGAGAATATCTAGATCCCACGTGGCTGGAAGTGGAGGAGAACTGGATATCTGTGAAAAGTAGCTTTGTGTCTTATAGCAGCTGCTAGAGAAAAACACCGGTTATCACTGAGAAAAAAACGCAGTGTTTCCATCGGATGTAGTATATATTATAATTGTCTCTCTAGATTATTGAATCCATGTGTAGCTTAAAACCAGAGATAAAGAAGAATATTGCTTTCACCTCTGTTCTTTTTACTTTTTTATTATTGCATTTATCAGTTTACTCACTGAACTTAGGTTCTGAAAAGGTTTTGGAATATAATGATAAAAGAATAAACATTAGACACACACATATTTCTTTAAATCTCTTCATTATTGAAATGAGATAGAGAAACAGTGCAGTTCATTTCATTTGAGATTTGACAGGACTTTTTTTTTAGTTACTGTAAGTTTAGGTTACTAAGTTTTGTATCATAATAAGAAATGCTTAACAAATACACAAAAAATTATAGTGTACTTAACGTTTAAATGTAAATTTAATTTTAATTTCATATTTTGTATATCTTCTGATTTTATCTGGACATTATTTTATATTACAATAATTTTATTTTTAAGTGTATTTCATTGATTATGCTATTACAATTGCCCGATTTTTTTCTCCCCTTTATCTCCCTCTGCCTGGCACCCCTCTTCCCTCCAGCATTCACCCCCATTAGTTCATGTCCATGGGTTGTGCATGTACGTTCTTCAGCTTCTCCATTTCCAATACAATTCTTAACCTCCCTCTGTCTATTTCGTACCTACCAATTATGCTTCTCATTCCCTGTACATTTTCCCCCATTCTTCCTCCTCCCCCTCCCTGCCGATAGCCCTCCATGTGATCTCCATTTCTGCGGTAGAAAAATAATTTCTAATTTCTAATTGTAACTATAACTGCCTAATTTACTCACAAAGTTTTATTCTTGTGTTCTGCAAGGAAAAAATCAGCATGTTCCTTGTCTTATACAATAAGTCATGCCACTGAGCATATTTGCACAGTAAATGATTTTGTATAATAGAAGGCATTACATGCCTAAGTACCCATGAGCAGGTGTTAAAATTGGAAGCATGTGAAGTATTCTTTTCTGGTAGGAAATAAGAAGTTGCCAATAGCAAACTCTTCAGTTTGAATAGGGATTAGGTGTCATAGGATAATTTATTTTTTTTCAAAGCTCTAAGTCTCACATCAAAATAGTGAAATAGACAGGTGCCTGATTGAACCTCAACAGTCTCAGCATTTCCAGAAACATCTTCCAGATTACTTTTTTTTTACACTACTATTCTTTACTAGCAGCCTCTGTCTTTAAATTTTAAAAATATTATATTTCTCAATTTCCAGATGCCTTGTGTTACCAGTTTGCAAAGTCTAAATGCTTTGTGATTAACATTTATGGAGAGATGCTGTGCATTCCCATGAATGGACCGATTCCCATGCTCCCTGCCTAATACCTAGTTCTGTACAAAGTTTGCTTGCTCTTGGCTCCCAAATTCACATTATTCATAATTATAAACCTAATAAAATGAATAACCTCACTCTATACTTACTATATCTTTTTTCTCTAAATTGTAGTCAGTATGACCTGTCATAATTGTTGAATCATGTGGGCGTAGACAGATTTCAGGGAGAAATGGATCAGGGAAAAAAATTCCAAGGCGGTGGTCAAAGAGGACCCTAAGACAATATGATGTTCATAAAGGAGAACTAAAAATAAATCTCAAGCAAGTAATATCATTATTCTAAAGAGCAGGATGAGTAAAAACATAGATATCTTTTAAGAAAATATCATTTTTATTCAAAATGTTCCCAAAATGATCAGGGGCTATACTGCTCATTTCTTGCATGTTCACTATCCCCAGCACCAAATGCAAGTTAGTTTTTTAATAAAATTATTGGATGTTTAATATAGGTTTAAATTTTTACTTTTGCTATGACATTTAGGTATATTTAATATATTCAATGCATATTCCTTGTTAATATCCTACATATTAGAAAATTTTGTGTATTATAAACATAAATATGTAAAATGAGTTAGTTTTACTTAAATTTATCAGGCTTATATTTATATTACCTTCATTCTTGAATGTTTTTCCATTAACTTTTATATGTATTTACTTTATTACTATGGAGTTTTTTATATTTGACCATCAGAAAGTGTCCTTTTATGACTCAGTATTGTTCTGTGATTTAGTAAAATCCCTAAATATTGCAAGATTTGCTTTAAGCATTATCATAAGCTGATTGAGGTTAAGAATAACTTAGAAATTAACTTTTATTGGCCTAAATTGCCTAATTCCTGATAATTAATATTAATTAATACCAACCATATTAAATTTTAATATTTATCATTCAAATAGTCATTGGACAACCAGAATTAATATCTTACTTCTACAGGAAATTCAGTGTAATGTAATTCTTATCTTCTTTTCCCCATTGACTATTTAGTGAGCAGTCTTCTTATTTCCAGTGATTGTGATATAATGACCCTGGGAAAAAGGTGTCGCTATCAAATATGGTTGTTCTTTAGTATAACCAGGAATAAATGACAGAAGGAAAATACTGATATTGTTCTGGAGAGACCTTGGAAAATGTTGCTGATCATAAAGCTATACTAGCCCTGGCTAGTGTGGCTCAGTGGATTGAGTGCCAACCTACAAACCAAAGTGGTGCTGGTTCGATTCCCAGTCAGGGCACATGCCTGGGTAAGGGGCCAGGTCCCCAGTTGGGGGCATATTAGAGGCAACCACACATTGATATTTCCCTCCCTCTCTTTCTCCCTTCCCCTCTCTCTAAAAATAAATGAATAAAATCTTAAAACAACAACAACAACAAACTCCACTAGCTATGTCACCATTTGTATTGCTGAAAACGTTCCCCAATTCCCTACAAGAGAACTGGCCAGCCGCTAAGTCAGTAATGAAGCCACATGCATACATTTTCAGAGGGAACAGCACCCATTTCTCTTTGTCTACTTTGTTTTGTTTTTCACCTCTTAGGGACCTGACAACTGTACAAAGTGCTCGCATTTTAAGGATGGCCCGAACTGCGTGGAAAAATGCCCAGATGGCTTACAGGGGGCAAACAGTTTCATATTCAAGTACGCCGACCAGGATCGGGAGTGCCACCCATGCCACCCGAACTGCACACAAGGGTAAGCATCTCTTCTGACCAGAACTCAAGCTTGAATGGGGTGTGACTAATCCAAAGGGACACTCACGTGCCTTCATCCCTGACATGTGCTACAACGTGCACAGTATTCTTGAACAAAATTCTATGCGTCTTTATCTTCAATATGTTGATTTTAAGCAAACTCCTTTCTAAAAGAATGGCTTCGGGAATAAAACTCATACCCTTTTAAATATTTCTATGTAATATTTAACTGGAACTATTTTTTTTATTGACAACTTCATGAAGCGAGTACCAGGTATACTTTATATGGAATGTAAAAATTCTTTCAAAGTTATTGGAGATTGAAGTTATCAGAAAATAAAGATAGTAATTACACTTTTGAGATGTGTGCTTAGTAAATCTTTAACAGAGGTTTTCTGTTTCTGCTTCTTTGTTGCTAGAACCAGTTTAATGTTAAGTTAATACCTTGTTGGTAAATACTGCCTTGGATTACTCCTTCAACAAAGTGTAAGCAAAAAATAAGGTAGCAGAAAAATAAGGGAACCTAGGAATATGTATTTAAATAAAATTATGAGTGCTTTTTGTGAAAGTAATTTTGTTGTAGGTTAAGTTGTAACTGAGAATTTTCTTTTTGTTTAATGTAGGGCAGTTCAATGATTGGGCAACACATTTCTCTGTTTTTCAAAAGTATGTCTTATAAAATTAATAAAAATTAGATTTACCTTTAATATCAGTAACAGCTGAAAACAAAGACATATTACAGAAAGAAGAAAAACATTGAACTCTAAAGGAAGTAACGTCAGATTATCTAAAAAATTCCAACAACTGTTTCTTTTTTTTCCCCCAAAAATCTATATAGATAGAGTCTTTTCTTTTTCTTTCCTGCAGAAGGTGAATAATTTTAGAAACCAGAGCAGTTTCTCATACTCTATCCCTTTGTGCCCATAAAACCTCTTGTCCATGGTGAGTGTCCACACGCATGTGCACATAGACGTACAGACATATGCACTTGTTGAGAATCGTCTTGCTTACTTTCTATCCCGCAGTAAAGCATGAGATTCCATTAAGAGATTTGCTTCCAGATTAAGGGCTAGCTGTTAGGGGATATTGAAGATGTGAAGCAAGCAACATTATCTTCTGCCAAGAGGACATCAATTTGCAGAAGCTGCTACAATTTCCTACAGGTCAAGAGATCAGCTTCAGTCACTCTGTGAAGTGGCAGATCCTCCAAGGTAAAGTCATAGTGCACCATTCAAATTCAGATTCAGCTTGGAAGAGCTAATGCCAACTCATTGGTTTAGACATAAGCCCATAGGTTGAGGATACTGAAATATTCACACAGACACTGTGCTTCGAGGAAAGTAGCAGGAATAAACTGCTCCCCTTGCGAGTTTTTGGCACGCTCCCGTTAAGGGTATTTCATGAAGAAACAACTGGCACCGCTGGAGCCGAAGCGTCAGCAAATGAAAGAGAAAACTTTGCTGGCTAAAATAATCATCCACAAGAGGGTTTTATTGTTTTGCAGCTAAAATTAAACCAGTAAATTATTTAATATAATGTTGATGTCAACAGCTGTTGCCATTCAAAATGAGGTCTTTTGCTGTTTTTGCAAATCTAATTACAATGAAGCCATTAGGGAAATGAAAGTGAGATCATAGGGAGCCATAGTCTGCATGTGTGGCTGGTGTGTCTTCCCCTCAGCCCTGTTAAATCATGATTATAAAATAAAAGAAAGCATGTATTGTGGTAGGGGGAGTAGAAGGAGAGACAATGAAGAGATCAACGTACCACAGCAACAAATGTTAGATAGCCGAAAGAGAGCAGGCAGGGGTAACAGGGAATGAATCTGACCAGATCAGGTGGAAACTCCCAGTAAATGGAAAGATGTGTTTAAATTCATGGCTGTAGAATGATGGTTAGACAGAATCTGAATATTGTACTTCCTGGCATCTTCCAAGGTACCTGGATTCTGCAACTACTAACTTAGTCCTGAAGGGCTTTTGGTATTGTTTTTATTTAGTTTGCTGCTATCTTTTTTTCCAATAGCTTCTGTATCGTCCAGGTTCACTCACTTCATGCAGGTTCTGTGGCCCCAACCACACAACAGAATTTAGAAATTTCGAAGTTTCTTAAGTCCCTCTCAGTGCTTTGACAGCTGTCACTGGAGCAACGGAGTGCGCTTCGCAGGCTAGAAAAATCGTTGGGGCAGTGAGATGGCCGGACGAATGCCTATTTTTATTACTAAACTCATCTAATTACTGACCTATTCGTTAGTGGGAGCTCACCAGGCCAGCTCCACTTTGGAAAACAGGTTTTCTTTTATATGCCAATATTATGTCAGCCATATCATTCAAGAACCAAGTTAATGGAAATAGTCTTTCAAATCACATTTTTTTAAAGAAGAGAAGTTCTTACTCTGAATACTGTTTAATGATTTTCTGAGAATAAAATGATCTGTTTAATACCTTCGGAGCACTTTTGCTACTCTAAAAGTATATTATGTATATTGGCTCTAATAAATTCGTTAGATACTTTTAAAACAGATTATCCATTTAGCACCTATCAAGAGCTTTTTCACTAATATGCATAGAGGGAAAAAAATGATGTTGTCTCCTTTTTTCTTTACTGAAGGACTTTTATTTTAGCAGCCTTTTCTCATTAAACACCTGCTGTGCATCAGATGTGATGACAGCCAAGTTCAGAAGTGGGCGGGGCACAGCTCTGGACCACTAGGAAGTGTCAGCCCAGCAAACTTTTATTCCTACGGTTTATAGCCTTCCATTAGAGACCATTGCCCACATTTCAGAGGAAGAGCAAGAATTTAAAATTTAGGAATGAACTTTATATTTTCAGTCTGCAAGACATAAATCTTTAAAGAGGACTTGTAAACTGAATTTACTTTGTAATTATATAACTATAAGGGCTGAGGTTATAATTTCCTCGCTAGCACCAGTTGAATCCATGATAAATGTCAATTTAATTTTGGATTTTAGACATGGACTAAGATATGTATTTTTCATAAGGCATCTTTTAAAAACTTTATTAAATAATCTTGTTAATATTAGAATCATGATTTTATAATATTAAATTTCCTGTCAATTTATTTTATCAATTCTTTTTTTATATTTTTAAGTTTATCAGTAAAATAGTTTCTATTGATGGAGAGGCAGAAAGAAGGGCTACACTATTTCAATAGAAATTTTTAAATATTCTTCTATTTTCATTTCAAAATTTGAAGATTTTGTCAAAGTAGCTCACCTACATTAGTTATATGGGTACATCAAGGTGCCTATAAATCAATAAACACTGGCAAATATTATACAGCTCAATATTCAAAATTCCAGATATTTTTATACTAAGTTACATTGACATATTATAGTTTCTCTTTCTGATCTTTCTATACACTTTCTAGTTTCAAACACTAATTTTGTTGAAAATTGTATTATCCTATAACCTTACTCAGTCTCTTATTTTAGATTTTGACTCTTCAAAAGTTTAATGTTTTCATTATTCTGTTTTCTTGCTGAATCAATATAGATTGTATGTGCTAATTAGTTGTATATATAAGGGAGAGAGTTGAAATAGAATATACATCTTTCAATACACATTGACTTGTCTTTACAAAGGATAGCACTGCTTAAACCATATCCTCATTCTTCTTTGTCTTCCATTATTTTTTTTATCATTAGCTTATAAATATGTTCAAATCTCAAATAGCCTACCCAAGCTTTTCAACAAACTTTCTTGAACACACACCCTGCCCCATCTTTTCCTCCCTTTCCTTTTCCACTTCCTCTGTCTTCAACTAGCTTCTCAATTCACAACTATCTAAGTTCTAGTGAGTTTTACAGTCACCACTGAAATACTCTTGGTAGTTCTTATTTTACTAGATCTCTCTTTGCATTTGACACTGATCATCCTATTTCCTGAAGTTCCCTTCTAACTGGGCTTCAAGGGTACTGTAATTAATTCATTACACTCAATTATATTTCCCCACGCTTTTGACATGAGCTCATCTTATATCATTCAATAACTAATTATGGGATTTTCTTGGGTTTCACTCTCAGTCTCTGCTTTTCTTACTTCATAGATTCTTCTTCAGCCATCTTATCCACTTACATGATTTTAATTTTCTCCTATATGGTATTTCAAAACTGATTATAACACTGTGCCTTCTACCCCCACCCACACCCTCCTAGCCACAGACTCATTTTGCAGCTGCTGAGGAACATCTCTTGCTGGACTGTAGAACAACACTAAGCTCTAAATGCACAAAACTCAAATTAGCAGCTCCTCCTGTCCCAACACACCCAAGGCAATAATGATCCTCTTCTTCCATTCGTTCACTAATAGTTCACTATTCTCAAAGTTAGAAATATGACTCATTCTTAACTCTTCCTTCCACTTTCAATATCAAACCAGCCATCAATTTGTCTTTTTTTTTTCTCATACCTCCCAAGATATTTCTTGAATCCATCACTTTGCCTGTATCATAGGCACCATTTTCCTAGTTTAGTCCATCAGCTCTTGAATAGAGTAAAACAATCCTTGTGCCAAACAAATCCTAGTTACCAACTCACCAGCATCCACAAAGAGATCTATGTACAACACAAAACCAGCAATTTCACTACTTCTTTGAAACCCTCTGGTGGTTTTTGTTAAGTTTGTGGCTAAGCAAAGTTTTCAAATTCTGGCTTCTGTCTCAAGATATGGCTTCTTTTCCCTATCCCTATTGTCACATCTGTCTCCTTCATTATATTGTGAGACCATGAAAAATAGGTGAATGTCTAATTCATCTCTTTTTCTCTCTTTCGCCCCTAGAATAGTAGGAACACTGAGTGGGCATGCGACACAGGTTTTTCTTTTTGTTTTAATGAATAAATGGTCTTTTCTTATTCACACTTTCTCCTAAAGATTAATTTCACTTTCAAAAATTTCTGTTTTTCAAAGGTTATTATAAAAACACAGATTACAAACTAATTATAGGCTATAAAAGCATTTTGAGGAAGATATAATAGGAACCTAGAAAAAAATAAATTCTTCAGAATAGAATTCAAAGGAAAACATACAAAACAATTTGGAAATGTTTTTAGTACTTAATTTTTTATTTTTAGAAAATACTGTGATTAGGAATTACGGTATCAGTTCAAAACTATGTGCTCTATTTATTTCCATTTTTTAAAAAAACTTTTTATACAATATACTTCTCATACATCTGTATGTTAAGTTTTCTGGTCCTCTCAAACAACTATCAAAACAAAACAAAACAATTCCAACTTTTCATCTAGTATGAATGTTGTAACATATTCTTAAAGCAGGACAATAGTGACTTAATTATTATTAGGCAGAGTTATATTAGTCCACCAATGTTTAGTTATTTAAAGGTATAATGGACAGTCTGGCCTTATAGATGATACCTATTTTATTCATTATATATTCATTTTTAACTTCAGATTCTTTTTCTGTTCTTTAGAAATTTTAGTTTGAAGGAATCATTTTTTATTACCAACAGAATTAGACAGTTCTATAAATCATAGGTGTAGGAAGAATCTTGATAATGCATTGGAGCTATATGTCCTTGATGGGGAAAATGGAAAGAAAAGCAATTCAAGTAAATTGGAAGATGGAAAAATATTTCTATAATACTTCAAAATGAAATTCTAGGAACTATATATCAGAAATTTCTGTACTTGTATTATTTTACTTAAATGTTAGTCTCAGTGGATTTTTTAAAGTCTGAACTTATTCATTTCCTCGGAGAGGATTTATTTATTTGTTATTAATTAACTTAAATATTTTGACAGTTCAAAAAGCTGTTTTGTTTGCCTGTTATGGCATGCTCTTTTAAAAGAGAGTGTCAAAATACACTGCAGGACGGTGAAACCAGTTAATTTGCTTTTCAAATGGATTCATGTTTAAAGATAAGTATGTTTTAAAGACAGTCACAACCAAGGAATAGAATAATGTGATTATGTAAAGTATCCATGAGAATAACATTAAAGAATGCCAGCTCACTTTCTGCCAAAATCAATCTTTAATGAGTATTAAGCATCAGGTTGTTATATTATATTGGATAGTTCATGTTTCCTTTTTTATCAATTTTGTTTTTTACTTAAATTTAAGAGCTTTTCAAAGGAATCATATGCATGAAACCAATTATAGCCATTGAAATATAAGTTTTTCATCAAGACGTAATTATGAATGATGCAAATGAGTTGCAAGTATTAGAAATGAGCAAAATGTGTTTGGAAGTTATCCATAGAAATGGAGTATAACATCCTTTTCCATGAATATGTTTCTGTGCATTCCACTTGGGTGGTATTTGCAATTTATTTCTGGGTATCCATCCAGCAATAATCTTCTCACTGCCTTTAAATTCATGGTGTTTCAAGATAGTCTAATAACTGTAATTAAGAATTTGACACAATTGATATTTTTCTTATTAATTTTTAAATGACTAATTTTTTCCTTGTATTTTTTTTAAACTTGGATCTTCCGCAGGTGCATAGGCTCAAGTATTGAAGACTGCATCGGCCTGATGGATAGGTACTTGGTGTACTTGCTTCCCATGTTCTCCCTGGAGGCTCCATGTGTGAGCACTGGTGCATGAGTGTGCATGTCACTGTGAATGGAGAATGATGTTTTCTGTTCTGTAATTGCCTGCAGGTGTAGCGGTCCCACTAGTCATGACTGCATTTACTACCCTTGGACGGGCCATTCCACTTTACCACAACATGCTAGGTAACATCTACCATGTTTCCATTTTGTCGCTCAAACCCTTTCCCAATGATCATGGATGAAAAGTACTAACCAGTTGGATGGAATTTATATGTTAAATTGGGGAGTTAGGAAGAGGCACATAGCACTTTACTTTTTTAAGCCACATTTCTTACCTCTTCTTACTTCATTGATTATGACTTTGGAATCCAGATTAGTAATATCATTATTTTAAATTTTGTATAATAAGGCAAAATTAACTACTTTTGAATTTTTTAGCTAGAATTTTAATAGAATATTTCATTCTTAATTCTGTAGATGATTTCAAAAAGAAATAATTTTTAAGAAAGGAATTTGTAAAAGTTGGTGTATTTTTCTAAAATGTTTGTGATTTGATTCAATTTCTGATTTTGTATCATTTTGAACTGGTTGGTATTTGCCCTGGGTATCAGTATTACCATAGACTAAAGGCAATATAGAAAATATTTTGTGCAGGCAGAAGTACAAGTTAGAATTTAAAAATTAAATGTTACTCACATCCATATAAAAACCTACGTATAAATGTAGTAGCTTCATTCAAAATTACCCCAAACTAGAAATTAATTACTCAAGTGTCCTTCAGCAGTGGTATACCCATGCAGTGTAACGTTACTCAGCAATAGAAAGGAAGTCACTGCTGGCATACACCAAACTTGGACGGATCTAAAAACATGCTAAATGAAAGAAGCTATAGTTAAAAGAATGCATACTGTATGATTCCATGTATATGGCCTTCTGAAAAAGGCAAAACTGTAGGGACAGAAGATCAACCAGTGTTCCCAAAGACTGGGAAGGTGGAGCAAGAGATTGACTACAAAAGGGTAGCAGGAAACCTAGGAGAAGAATACAACTTTTCTGTAACTCAATAGTAATGGTTGCACAAATATATGTGCTTGTCAAAAGTCATAGTTCAGTACATTAAAAAGGATGAATTTTACTGCATATAAAGCATACCTTAGTAAGTTTTGACTTTTAAAGCTCTTTTAGAAAAGTAGTTATTTTACAGTGTTATGCAAAAATATTGTTAGCTTTGTTAATGAAACACTAATCATATATTTTGGAAGAGAGAAAGTAGTGTTAAATTGCATTTAGGAAAATGAGAGTTTTAGATGGCATTTTTTAAATGCAAACCATTGTTTTGAATATAACATATATAGTATAAGAGTACATAAAATATAAGTGTAAACCTCGGTAAATTTCTTCAAATGCAACATTTGTGTAATGATTAGGCAGATAAAGTGGAAATATAATAGTATCAGAACCAGAAACCCCTTTGGGTCCCATTGCAAGAGTAACCACTGTCCAAAATATTAACATCATGGGTCAGTTTCTCTGTTTTTGCACTTTTTAGAAATTGCATCATTTTATGTACTCTTTGCATCTGGCTTCTTTTTCTAAATATAATATTTATGAATTCATTTATATCATTAAAATTAGTCCTAGCTTTTTTTTAAAATTTATATGGTGTTTTGCCTTTAAATGTTTTAAAGTAATCAAAAAAGTGATATGTCTTAATAATGTTATTTTTAATGAAATAAATAGAGAACTTAAATTCTAAAGAGAAATAATGTGGTAGAGTTAAGTGGTTTATATAATAGTGGTACTTTGGCATGTGGGCAGAATCAAGTCTAGCTAGTAACATTCATTTAGAGCAAGGTGAAAATTATTTTTAAAAATCAAATAAAATCAACGACAGAAGGGGGGGGAGAAGGACTCACAAAACCGGGAAGAGCTGGGAGGGAAGAGGGGAAGGGAAAGGGGGGAAGGCAGAGACAAATGTATTTAAAAAGTAAATAAATTAATTAAAAAAAATAAAAAATAAATAAAAAAAATAAAAAAAAATAAAATAAAAATTCAACATATATTAGAGAGAGAAAGAGAAGGAGAGGGAGGTCTGAATTGAATTGTTATAAATGAAGGTCCACTTTAGATTGGAATGGACATATATTCATGAAGTAATTGTCCTCGTTGAGTCTTTGAGTCACTTTACTATAGCTATGAGGACTGTTTTTACATTTGTTTTGGTGACTTTTTAAAGTAATCGTTCCAACCAACTAGTAAGAGACAATATAGTATGGTGATTAAGTATGCTGTCTTTGGATTCAGGTATTCCAAGTTCAAAGCCAGGCTCTCCCATTTTTTAGATGTGTGACCTTGGGTAAGTTCCTTAAATTATCTAAGCTTCACTCTCTTTATGTATAAAATAGGAATATTAATATAGTTCATAAATTGGTTGTGAAGATGGAATGAGTTCATAAGAACAGTGCCTCGCTCAGATAAATCACTCAATATATGTTGTTTATTATTTTTCTCTATATCAAGGATTTTAAATGTTGGGGATGGGGAAAACACCTCCCAGGGGAAGGAGGGAAAGCATTCGAAGTCACCCAGGGAGCTTTGATGTGTGCCTCCACCCCTCTGATGAGTCCTTTGAAAAAAAGGAAGTCATTTCTTTCTTCAGTTTAAGAATCACTGTCATAATGAGAGCCACTGATACCAATGGCAGTAGATCACAGGCAGAGGCATGCACAGAGACAGAGAAAAGGTCAAAACCATATGGATTGATCATCTGTGGCTTCCAATGCCATAAGGGGTTATATAAGTCAAAATCGTAGTGTATTATCAACATACAAAACATAAAAACTGTGGAGAATTTTTATAAGATTATATTTGAATTTGATTTAAGCCAAACTGGTAACATGATACAAGACCTCACAAGCTCTAGAGAATAACAGTTTTTGAAGCTCCTCTTAAACATTTGGGATTAAGAAAGGAACATAACGAAGATTACATGTAGATGGGAGAAAGTCGGATACAGCGCAGTTAACAAAATTATGTGTCCCCTTAAGGGTGGTTAAGCCTCCAAACGGTCTAAAGAAGAGGCTTACTCTGGCTTTTAAGGCCCAAAAACAATGGACAGGGCTTCCTTGAGTTAAGATAAAACTTTTATAGGCATGGGAAGTGACTACCCAGCATATCCTGCCCCGTTAGGAATTTATGATCAGATCACAAATCTGACTTGTGGTAAGATTTATGACAGAGCTGCATTCTTTTTGCCCATTATATCTTATTATAGATACAGTATTTCCAACATGTAAACAAAAGTGATTTGGGACTTTTCAATCCTATTACTTGCCTGAGTTCCTAGGCCATTCCCTATAGTCTCAGGTTAATGCACATAATTCAGGTTAGCTTTGTCAAAAATAGATAACCATGTCCAGTCCTGAGTACAGTTCAGCGTATCATTCCTATGAAAAATCTCCTGTAGACCTTTGCACAGATAAAGAGGAGGGGTTTTCGAATATGAAAGCCTGGGTTCAAGTACTGGTTCTACCATGTTTCTTATGTGTAGAATAAGGTGATAATGGTAATTTTTTAAACGGGAGTTCTTATACCTTTTAAGATTGGAGTGAGAATTAACTGAGATAACATGCAGGAGCCATTATCTAGTTATGTGCACTGGTGGTAGTTATGTTTCTAATTGAAATACTGGGAAAAATCAAGTTTTGAAACATTTTATGATGTTGTGTTCTATAAGTTTTTATATGTCAGTATGCTATTAATTCAATAGTTTAGTAACTTCAGAATTGACATGAAATTCCTGGAGTTCTAAGCATTTAAATTTTGTATGACATTTTATTATTTGTTTTTAGATTCTGTTTTTCTTATTTTAATTTTATTTATTTATTTATTTTTAGAGAAAGAGGAAGGGAGTGTGAAAAATAGGAAGAGAAACATCAATGTGTGGTTGCCTCTTGCACGTCCCCTATAGGGGACATGTGCCCTAACTGCGAATCAAACCAGCAACCGTTTGGTTTGCAGGCTGGCACTCTGTCCACTGAGCCACACCAGTCAGGACAAGTACAACACTTTAAATATGATTTCAAAGAATTTGTTGTAGGTTACTAATTGTTCTTTTTAAAAAACTCTAGATATATTTAATTAATACCAGTTTTTTGAGATTTTTATTTTTTTATAGAAGATGCATATCTAAACATAAAACATTTTTTACCTTTCTTTTTTATTTTTAATTGAATTTATCGGGGTAACATTGGTTCACAAAACCATACATATTTCAATTATAGAACTCAACAGAACATCGTCTGACTGCCCTTTGATCGTATTGACTTGTTGGAATTGACTTCTCAGAGGCTCTTCATAAGTTCAGAATTTACGTGAAAGATTTAGCTTGGACTCTGGAAGAGTATTTCTGACCATGGGAATTTTGGCATAGGTTAGATGAAAACTGAAAGTAACAAGCATCTCCTTTTTTGGGTCCTTAATATTGCAGTAAATATTTACCAAATGGAGAGGGTATCCATTTAATTAAAGCAGGGAGTTAATCAAGTAATATTTCAAGTCATTTATCTTTTTATTAATCCATGATAGCTTTTTTAAAGCTTATGTCTTAATTAATTAAAGTGGATCATATGTAATAAGTGGACAAAACATGCTAAAAAGTTATAAAAGTTTCATGAACCATCTTGTAACTGGGAGATTTTCCAAATGTCTCCTTTACTTTTTAGTCACAGAAACTTACATTGAAGAGGTCAATGTGGCCATTTTGAAATACTTGGAGCTCATAATCCCTACTTCCCCCTTATATTGTATTCTGTTTCTTAAACCAGCAGGAAACAAGATTGAAGATTTAAATGAAAACAGATAAAATGTACCTAATCTTGGATTGATTTTCATTTTCTAATCAGTGTTATTCTTTCCCAAGTCTGCAATTTGTGAACTGGTTTTCCACATTCCATTTACCTTTACAGGCTGCTGCTGGACTTTCTTCCAGGAAGATTGAATAGTGTAGAATAGAATTATCTTTCCACCTGTAGTCTCCTAGAATATACCACTTATTATGAAAACAACATTTGACATTTTAAAACATCTCCATGCTTTCTTTATCTGAATTACATGACTTAAAAATAGAATTTCTGTTTGATATTCTTCCTTTTTCATCAAGAATCTTATGAAGAAATATGTAC